TCAAGTAGTCAAGAATCATTTAATTGTGAATCTGAGTTATATTATATGTTAAGTCCATCAAAATCTATAATTTCCGGGTTAAGTGAAAAGTCTTATGTAAATAATTATAAAGGTACGTTTTTCAAAAAAAAAAAAATTTTTTTCTTGTTTAAATCTATTTTTCCATTTTTCTTGTTATTTAAAAGCGTTTAGATTTTTTAATATTATAACAAATTACTATTTAAATATTCAAAAAGACGTTGTATGTAGTATTGATTATATAATATCTATCGGTGCATTTGAATCTTCATATACAGGCAGCAATAACGGACAACAAATCAGAATTAATGACGGATTAATAATAAATAGCGGCAGCAACATTAATTTAGGTAATATCGATTTGAACAACAACACCGATATAGACTTTACTTTCCAAAAGCGAGTTGATCAAATTGAAAAAATATGTAATGACTTGGACATTTCATTCTCATTATATAACAAGTCTGAAATATATCAAAAACCATTAAATTCAGATTCTTCAGATTTGTCGGTTATAAATTCTAAAAAGGAATTAAAATCTATTGCCATAATTAATTCTAAAATATTGGATTATATGAACACTAGTATGAACGATCCTAATAAGAAATCATTTCAGCAATTAGTACAACTTTCAATAAGACATTTAGATAATTTTATTGAGCTTAAAATATTAGTTAATTCGATGAGGAACTTAAATAATTGTAATGAATTAGTTAATCAAATTAAAACTTTTGCTGAACAACATGACGAAGATCCTGCTAAATTATTTCAAAGTTTATTAGAACATCAGGAAAAATCCGCTTTTGCTCGTTTAATCGGATTTTTTTATAAATATGGAGTTAATTCTCCCAAGGACAATTATGAAAAATTTCAAGATTATGAGAAATTGGCCGAGAATGGTGATATTAATGCTTTATATGATTTAGGATTTTGTTATTTACATGGTATTGGTTCTGTTAGAGATGATCAAAAAGCTTTCGCTTATTTTACAAAATCTGCTCAATATGGAAATATTGATGCTCAATATGAACTTGGTTATTGTTATGAAAATGGAATCGGCACTACTAAAGATGAATTAAAAGCTTTCGAATATTATTTAAAATCTGCTGACGGAGGAAATGTTAAAGGCCAAAGTAACGTTGGGTATTTTTATGAGAATGGTATTTGTGCTGTAAAAGATCTACAAAAAGCTTTTCAATATTATCTAAAGTCGGCTGATGGTGGAAATGTAGATGCACAAAACGAAGTCGGTTATTGTTATGAAAATGGAATAGGTGTTGCTAAAGATGATAAAAAAGCATTTCAGTATTATCTTAAATCCGCAGAAGGTGGAAGTACTGATGCTCAAAATAACGTTGGAAATTGTTATCTACATGGAATTGGTACTGATAAAGATGGGAAGAAAGCATTCCAATATTATTTTAAATCTTCCGAAGAAGGAAATACTATTGCTCAAAATAACCTTGGTTATCTTTATGAGAATGGAATTGGTTCTGATAAAGATGATCAAAAAGCATTTCAGTATTACTTAAAATCTGCCGAAGGTGGCGATATTAATGCTTATTATAGTCTTGGAAATTGTTATAAAAATGGAATTGGCACTACGAAAGATGAGAAAAAAGCATTAGAATATTTTATGAAATCTGCCGAAAATGAAGATTCTAATGCATTATATAGTCTTGGACATTGTTATCAATATGGGATTGGTACCCCAAAAGATGAGAAAAAAGCATTCCAATATTATTTAAAATCTGCTGAAGCTGGTAATATCAATGCGCAATATAGCCTTGGAAACTGTTACCAAAACGGTATTGGTATCGAAATAGATGAACAGAATGCATTCCAATATTATTTAAAATCAGCTGAAGGTGGAAATGCTGATGCACAAAACGAACTTGGGTATTTTTATGAAAATGGAATCTGTACAGATAAAGACGAGCAAAAAGCATTTATGTATTATATGAAATCTGCAAATGGAGGGAATGCTACTGCACAAAATGAAATCGGATATTATTATGAAAATGGAATCTGTACCGACAAAGATGAGAAGAAAGCGTTTCAATATTATCTGAAATCCGCTGAAAGTGGTAATATTGAAGCTTTAAATAACCTTGGTAATTGTTATTATTACGGGGTCGGTACTTCTAAAGATGAGATGAAAGCTTTTCAAAATTATTTGAAATCTGTTGAAGGAGGAAGTATTGAAGCACAAAATAGCCTCGGACTTTGCTATCAAAATGGAACTGGAACCACTAAAGATGAAAAGAAAGCATTCCAATGTTTTATGAAATCCATTGAAAGTGGTGACAACGATGCACACTACTATTTGGGTAAATGTTATCAAGATGGAATCGGTACTGCAAAAGATGAACAAAAAGCATTTCAACATTACGTTAAATCTGCTGAAAGTGATGATGTTGATGGGCTATATAGTCTTGGATATTGTTACCAAAATGGTATTGGAACAGCTAAAAATGATAAAATGGCATTCCAATATTATAAGAAAGCTGCTAAAGAAGGAAGTGTTGCTGCCCAAAACGAGCTTGGGTACTTCTATGAAAATGGAATTTGTACCACTAAAAATGTTAAGGAAGCATTTCGATATTACGCTAAAGCTGCTAAAGGTGGAAACGCTGCAGCTCAAAACAACCTTGGTTATTATTACGAAAATGGAATTGGTACTGCTAAAGATGAACGAAAAGCGTTTTTATATTATATGGAATCAGCTAATAATGGAAATACTGCAGCGCAGTATAACCTTGGATATTGTTATGAGAATGGAATTGGTACTACCATAAATAAACAGAAAGCGTTCCAATATTATATAAAATCCGCTGAAGGTGGTAATATTAAAGCACAAAATGACCTTGGTTGTTGCTATCAAAATGGAATTGGCACTGCCAAAGATGAATGGAGGGCATTTCAATTTTTCATGAAATCCGCTAAAGGAGGTAATAATACTGCATATTATAACCTTGGAAATTGTTATCAAAATGGAGTTGGTACCATAAAAGATAGACAGAAAGCAATTCATTGGTTCACAGAATCTGCTGAAACTGGAGACGCTAAAGCGCAAAATGAACTGGGATATTATTATTATAATAGTGGAATTGGTACCGAAGAAGATGAGCAAAAAGCATTCAATTATTTTATGAAATCTGCTAATAGTGGTAATATTGCAGCACAAAACAATCTCGGATATTGTTATCAAAACGGCATTGGCATTGAAAAAGACGATGAGAAAGCATTTCAATGCTATGTAAAAGCTGCTAAAAAAGGTAATGCTTCAGCATTGTTCAATCTCGGAAATTGTTATAAACATGGAATAGGTACCGCAAAGGATCTACGGAAAGCATTTGAATGTTATATGAAATCTGCTAATAAAGGAAACGTCACAGCACATAATGAAGTTGGGTACTGTTATCAATATGGAATTGGTAGTGTAAAAGATGAAAAAGAAGCATTTCACCATTACATGAAAGCTGCTAAAGAAGGAAATACTGCAGCACAAAACAATGTTGCTTATTGTTTTGAAAACGGGATTGGTACTAAAAAAGATGTGCAAAAGGCGTTTCAGGCTTATATGACATCTGCTAAAGGTGGCAATGTTTCTGCGCAATTCAATACCGCGCTTTGTTTCGAAAATGGAATTGGTACCATAAAAGATGAATATAAAGCATTTCGATTCTACATGAGAGCTGCAGAATGCGGTAATGTTGATGCACAATATATCATTGGTTATTATTATGAAAATGGGATTGGAACTATTAAAGATGAGACAAAAGCATTTCAATATTATATGAAATCTGCTGAAGAAGGAAATATTGAAGCACAACTCTGCCTTGGAAACTGTTACCAAAATGGTATTGGAACGACTAAAGATGAACAAAAAGCGTTCCAATATTACATGGAATCTTTTGATAATGGTAATATTGATGCATTATATTGTCTCGGTTATTGTTATCAGAACGGAATTGGCACCACTAAAGATGATCAGAAAGCGCTAGAATATTACTTGAAATCTGCTAAATGTGGTCATACTGATGCGCAATGTAATATCGGAGATTATTACAAAAATGGTACTGGCATTGCCAAGGACGAGCAAAAATCATTTTATTATTATATGAAATCTGCGGAAAGTGACAATGATAGGGGACTAAATAATCTTGGATATTGTTACCTGCATGGAATTGGTACCACAGAAGACAAATGGAAAGCAATCGGATGTTATATGAAGGCTGCTGAAAAGGGAAACATTGTAGCTCAAAATAATCTTGGATATTGTTACCTCCACGGAATTGGTACTTCCAGGAACGAATGGAAAGCATTTAAATTTTTCATGAAATCTGCAGAGAAAGGTAACATTGTAGCACAAAATAGCGTTGGATATTGTTACGAATACGGAATTGGCACAATCAAAGATCCGCAAAATGCATTCAAATATTATATTAAATCTGCTGATAGTGGTGATATTGAAGCGCAACTTAACCTTGGACATTGTTATAAAAACGGTGTTGGTGTCGCCAAAGATCTGAAAAAAGCATTTCAATGCTACATGAAATCAGCTGAGTGTGGAAATGCTGCTGCACAAAATGAGGTTGGATGCTGTTATGAAAATGGAATTGGCACTGTCAAAGATGATCGAAAAGCATTTGAATACTTCATGAAATCTGCTGAAAATGGGGATAATGATGCTCAATATAATGTTGGAAATTGCTATCAAAATGGCATTGGTACTATTAAAGATAAAACAAAGGCGTTTCGATATTTTATAAAATTTGCCAAAGAAGAAAATGCAGATGCGCAATACGATCTTGACATCTTAAAACCATTAAACCCATTAAACCCATTACAACAATTACAACAATCAAAGATTAAAAGGCATTTCAGTCTTCTATAAAATAATCTTCCACAACTTAAGCATGGCATAAATTGTTTGAGCGTCACACGCAATTTACTGCAGAAAAATGATAAAAAGTTAATATGAGTTTAACATCAAATCTATTTAATGCTTGTATTTTAACTCGTTATATATATGTATATATTTTATTTTTACATATATTCTTAATATTTCTATATATATTTATTTATATATTTTATTTGCATTATTTTTTTAATATCCTTACTAAAAAGCATATATATTGGTTTTAAATTTTTACAAATATAATTACTGAATTAATCCTTATTTAGTAGAATATTATTAACATATATTTATTAAAATAGAAAATATTGTTCAATAACAATTTTTAATTAATATTATACCCTGATCACTATATCAAGATCGCAGGGTATAAATCAGTTATACACAGGGTTCTATGTGTTTGAGCGGAAATTTCATTTCCGCTTATACCCACGCCACCCAGTGTATAACTATTACTTATTTGCTATAGTTATATTGTTAATTATGATTTTGTAAGTTTTAAAAAAGATTATGAGTCAATTTTAATTTGTTAATATATCTATGGCATTTAACCTATGTATGTATACTTTGTATTAACCAGCAGATTAATTAGCACAGGTGCTTATGTAAAAATATTTATAGTTTAACTTTTTTCGTTCTAAAAATAGTTTATTATATATTAAATCAATTCTACCTATTAAATAAACATGAAAAAAAGTTTACATTTTATTTGAATATTTATAATCCATAAGTTACTTTGCTACAAGTTACAATATGTGATTTTTGCTATAGCCTTTATATTTTGGGAATTGCTGTTTGTACCAAATTTGCTATATATACCCATACAAATTAAAGTTTTTTGAACTTTGAGCGAAGTAATCTCGATTACCACAAGTTAAATTCGATAAAACTTTTTTATTTGAAATATATGTATTCGTAGAATGCAAATTCATTGAATTTTACCTGGTGGTTACCGAGATATCTTCGCTCAAAGTCTTAAAAAACTCAAAACGTCCCTATAAGAAAAGTGGTTCGGGGTATGGTACGGGGAAATAGTTTATATGCACGGGATGGTACAGATCGCGTGGCACGTATAGGCGCGTTTTACGGAATGGCACGATTAAAAATGGCACAGACATTACGGTAATGGTGGCATGTTATATCACACGGAATGGCACGCATCAGATGACACGCATATGCACGTTGTGTGTCTTCATTTCACGGAATGACACGTGTTAAAAGTGACACGTGTTGGCTCGTTTCACAGAGTACAATAAGAGCGAAGGATCACAAATTAAAAAATTGTAATATCTCCAGAACTCGCAAGTAAACCTATCTTAAGGAAAAGATTCCTTGCAAGATTTTACACATTTGCAGTTACTTTAGTTTCCAGATATGTGTATACTCCAACTATTACTAGTTCTCTTCTAATAAAATGTCTAATAAAATGTCTATTGGAAAGTGGACCGTAAGTTTATGTTTACTTACCCGTTCCATTCACGTGCCATAGTAAACTGCTGTATTATTTACGTTTGTATACGGACCAACACGGTCCACCGATTCCGTGACAACTCGAACCATGCACGTTGTGAGCGGGTAAGTAATAAAATTATAACTAAATAATCTACTCTAACTTAATAAACTTTACAGGTTTAATATAAAACAAGGTCGGAAGCTCCAAAGGCGAAAGCTACGGGCACAACATTCACGTGCTTATGTGCACAGCAATGACCAGCACTACTATAATACACTTACCCTAACGCTAACTCTAACCCTAACCCTAGCCAATGCTGTGCACACAAGTCACGTGAATGTTGTGCCCGTAGCTAACTACCCTTAGATCCGGAGAATCTACGGACAGTTCTTAGGGACAGTTCTGATCATGTGATATGTTAAATGAAGCATATCACGTGACTTATACTTGATGACAAAAAGAGGGGCTGGGCCAAAAAATTAGAAAATATATTTTTATGCTAATTTTATTCTAATCTAATTCTTCAAGATATTGAATTTTTTTTAAAAAAATTTTTTTGGCCCAGCCCCTCTTTGCTGTAATTACATTTTATTAAATATCGATATATTAAAAAAGTATAGTTAAATGTAGCTTTAAGAAACCATTATTAAAATTTAAAATTATTTTTTGAAACATGCAGTCAAAATTTATAAATTATTACCAATAAAGTAAAAATTTAATTGCTTTATTTATTTATTTTTCCTGTAATATATACTTATTTAATAATATTCAAGAAACATCAAATAAGTTGTAAAAAAACTTACTTGAAATTTCTAGCTCAATAAAATTTATCTGGTACAGATATATTAATGATTCTATTTTTGGCATATATACTCTAATAAGTTTTAAACATTAATTGTATAAACGATTTCAGCGATCATGCTATAAAGATTGAATTAGAAATTTATAATAGAACAGGGTGAAACCTGAGATGATCATAGCAGATTTTACTATTTCGCAACTCAGGTTTCACTCTGTCGTATTATAATTATATATTAGACTATGATTCAAAAATCATGATCGTCACCCAAAAATCAAAATCATTTCTTGAAACCTGCATGACTATGCATTAAAAAAAACAATATTATCCAAAAGAGATTAGCTATGATGCAGTTGTGAAGAAAATAAATAAATTGATACAAAAACTAGTTATTTGTTGCATTGTTACGCTTATAGAAGAGGTTAGAACAAAGTAATTGGAAAATAGTGATTTTAGATTAACTAAAAAAATTCTGTTTCATAATCATATTTTGAAAAAAAATAACATAGTAACGTCTTACCAGTTTTCTTATGAATATTTCCAAGGCTTCATATTAGAAGTTATTTAGTTTAAAAATTAATTAGTCTTTTCTGGTTATGTCTTATAAAGGTTTGTTGATTGAGATGATTTCTTGATAAAATAAATCTAGGCACTAGTAAAATTCATTGTAATTATAAATAAGAGAAAACATTATCATATTAATAAAAGTACAACCGTTTAATTCCCTTATAATTAATTAAATTTTGAAAAAAAAACTTATCTTAACAATGTCGCAATCACAATCACAAATTCCAAAAGTTGGTGATAAATTCCCAACAGTAGAAAGCTTTAAGGAAGCAGTACAACAAAGCGCCAAAGTAGCGGGTTTTGCCTTCAGTGTATCATCATCAAAAGTGTCAGGTGGAGGAAAAGGCGGTCATACTCCTTTTGTTGTTTTGCAATGTGTAATGGGAGATAAGTACAGGAACAATCATCAAATTACTGAAGAAACACAAAAAAGAAAGAAGTCCACAAAGCGTCAAAACTGTCCTGTCAGTCTACGTGCTGTCTTAAATAAGGATACTAAAGTTTGGGTGGTAACAACTTCCAAAAATAAACACAACCATGAGCTACTACTTCCATCTCAAGTTCATTGTTTTCCTCAGCACTGGTATCTTACTACAGAACAAAAAAAATTAGTCCATATTATGCTTAAAAGTGGAGCTTCAACTCAATCAATCGCTGATGCGATACACTGGAAAAATGGTATGATATACACAAAAGATATAATGAATGAACGTGACCGAATAAAAAATGCTTTGAATGAAGGCACAAATTGTAATACTACAATGTGTCTTCTACAAATGTTAGAAGAATGTCAATATATAGTTCGTCATGTATTAACAAAAGATGGCTATATGCTAAACTTATTTTTTACGCATAATGAAGCTGCACGTCAAGTAGCTATATGCCCGGAAGTGCTCATGATCGATGCAACATACAAAACAAACTTATATAAACTTCCTCTTATCAATACCATTGGTGTTAGTAATATTGGTAATGCTAAAGCCCTTAATACATATCAAATCACAATGGCATGGGTAGCAAATGAACAAGAATATATATATAAATGGTTTTTACTTACTTTGAAAGAGACGATTTATGATGTTTTTTTTTGTTCTCCGGAAGTATTTGTCTCAGATAGGGCCCTTGCACTTCGAAAAGCAGCAGACAGAGTTTTTCCAGATGCAAAAAAAATGGTTTGCATTTGGCATATGCTCTTACAAAATTTACGAACTACATGTAGAAAACTCTTTGATTCTGATGAAGACTATGATGAACTTCTATTGTCAGTCAAAAAGTGGCTTATGCTGAAGAAATGTGTGAAGTAGAAAAGGCATTTAATGAGGTTAATAAAGCAGTAATAAAAAGCAAAGATCCTAAATATATTCAAGATTATCTTGAAGAATGGAAAAAAGATGCGGAATATTGGATGCATGTTTTTACAAAAAATTATCCACACATGGGAATCCAATCGACACAGAGAGCAGAAGGAAGCCATGCCACTTTGAAAAAAGCAATAGAAGCAGCCAGTTTGGAACAAGTGTTTTTACATATTGACCGTGCCTTCCGCCAGCGCCAACTACGAACAACTGGGCCCCTTGGTTTGAATATTGTCTTCGCTGATCCATTTATATGTAATGATCTGAGATTTGAATTACTACTTGGAAAAATTTCCAAATGGGCAATTGATAGAATCAAAAAGGAAATATGTGAGATTGGAGAAAATAAAAATTTAGATAGTAGTTCTTATAATTGTAGCTTAAGATTGAATTATAAATTACCTTGTCGTCACATAATTCCACCAACTGGGCCTATTCCACTTAGTCTTGTTCATTCTCGCTGGCATTTAAAGCATGATTCAATACCTTTATTATCACCATCATTATCAACTGACTTTACTATCACTAAGATTTTATATAAACTTGAAGAAAAATATGAAAACCTAAATAATAGTGGGTCGAAGGCCACATTATTGCATAAGATTGAGGAACTAGCCACTGAAGAAATTCCAGTCCCAAAGGCGCCATTGCATACTGTATCTAATAAGCATCCAACATCTACTAAAAGAGATCCTCTTCTTAGTGAGCATCAAGATAAAGCTGCTGCAAAAAAGGAAAAAAATATAAAAAAAGAAAAAAATATAAAAGAAAAAATATAAAAAAAACCCGTGAAGGGTCTACAATTATCACAAAGACCTTTATTTTATGATCAGATACCTACTTATATACATAAATATATAAAGGAAGTGATTAATGTAGATGGAGATGGAAATTGCGGATACAGAGCAGTGGCCGTGTGTTTAAAAAGAAATGAAAATGAGTGGTCAGAGATAAGAAAGGAATTGCTAAAAGAATTAATTGAAAAAGAACAATTTTACCGGATGCTGTTTTTTGCCAATGATGATTATGATGTGATTAAAAAAGAGATTACTTGGGAAAGTGGCCCTTGTACATTCGAACACTGGATGAAAATGCCACAGATGGGTCATGTTATAGCAAATACTTATCAACGGCCATTATACTTTTTCTCATTACAAATAAGCCTTACCTTTCTTCCATATCATCACTCATTAAACCGAAATGAAGCTCTTGCAATAGTTTTCATTAACAATAATCATTATGTACCCATAGTATTAAGGGCTAGTGCACCTGTTCCACCAATTGTTAATCGGTGGACACAATTTGCTACTTCAGCCGCAATACACTGGAAACTATTGATCCAAGATCGCATTATTCAATTAAGCTCAACTAGTAAAACGGATCTAGAAAATAAATAATACATATTAGCTATGTAGATTTAATCAAGATTCGTTAAACACAAAATACTAATTTCAGAATAATTTTTATAAATATTGAAATGCTTATATTAAAAATGCTTATCATTATATTTAATTATTTGACAAAAAAGTTTTTTCGTTCTTACGTATTTGAATTTATATATTTAAATATCATGTGATTGCACTGTCCATAAGATCACATGACTATGCACTGTCCCTAACTGTCCCTAAGAGCTGTCTGTAGATTCTCCGCCTTAGATCGCCACCAAATTTTTAAAATTTTCACCTACACGTGATTTTAAACCAACCACATTTCAAGATCAGATGTAATGTTACATGATTAGGAAAATCAAAACAAACGTTCGCTTTGTCAAAAATCGCTTGTAACTCAAAATGTAGTATAAGAAACCACCTTTAATGCTTTAACAAAAAGTTTTCCTTAAGCAATTTTACCTATAGCTTTTTCTAACTCTAACCCGAACCCTAACCCTAACCCTAACCTAAACGAACTTAAAGAATTTTTCAGTGTGTTACACATAGGGTGTGAAATGGGCCGGGTTGGACTCAGTGTTTAAAATTCAAAAAAAATTCTTGTGCACTAATGTATTTTGTGCACCTTTTTTAAAAAGCATTACATGCACACTTAGAAGATTTTTTAAAATTCCAAAAAATTCCAAAAAAAACACGTGCACATGTGCATCTTGTGCATGCCAATTTTAAACCCTAGTTGGACTGGGTTTGCCTGTGCCTGAACCCAACCTGTTAAATCATAAGCCCAGCCTGAGCCCAGCCCAATTCATTATAGGACTAAAAATCTAGGCCCGGGTTTGGCCCAAACAATGCTTAACCTATATAAATTACTGGGCTTAACCTGGCCCAAGCTCAACCTGTTTTTACAAGCCTAGCCCGAGACTGGTCCAATTAACTTATGAGCCTAAAAATCCAGGCCCAGGCCAAGCCCAAACTCAGCCCAACTCGCAAATTATCAGATTTGGCCTGGCCCATTGCACACCCTAGTTACACATAATCACGTGCTGGTGAAAATGTTAGTGGCAATCTAGGAGAAGATGCCCATAGCTTTTTCTAGCTCCAAATATAGTAGGCTTGTGGTAAGATTTGGTTCAGGTCTTCAGAGCTTGGGCTGTGAGTAGTTGATGCTAGGACTCAAATAAGTCCTCTGCCTACTTAGACTTATATTTTACTTTTGGTTGTAATATAAATAATTGAAATTGACGCTTCTAATTCTTCTATTTTGAGTCTACTGCTTATTTAGATCATGTGTGGCGAAATCGCACTGGCTGTGGTAATCGGAAATTGAGGTCGGATTTACGTTATGGGTTGAATAAATTGGAAACCGGATCTTCAATCAGGGTATCGATGTCACGATACTTTAATTTTCAATTGATCGAACTTATATAGGAGGATCCCCAAAATTCCTGGTTGGAATCAGGTCGGAATGCATTGAATATAGTCAGCCAGGAAGATTCTTTTAAAATTTAAAGGATTTTTAGAAACTTTAAGCAAATATTTCTCAATGAATATTTAACTAATTCCAGAAAACTTTTTTTTATTTTAATTCCACAAATATGTATAGTTAAAATAAAAAACTTTTTATCGAATTTGGTTAGATAGTCATGGAGAAAACTTCATTTAAAGTTTTAAAAAAAAGTTGAAAATCTTAGAAAAAAAGCAAAAAACCATAGTAAAAACATCTTTTTTTTAACTTTAAACAAAGATTTCTCAACAGCTATTTAACCAAATTTGATGAATCTTTTTTTATTTTAATTCTACAAACACGTAGAATTAAAATAAAATTTTTTTTATTGAATTTAATCAAGCAGTAGCTGAGAAATATTCATTTAAATTTTTAAAAAAAATTTACTGCAGCTTCTTTTTTGTAAGTACTAAAACCTCAATCGACATTTTCTCAATGATTATCTAATCAAATTTGATGACAATTTTTTATTTTAATTCTATAGATAAAATAGAATTAAAATGAAAAAATTTTCATCAAATTTATTTAGATAATCATTGAGAAACCCCATGAAAAGTTTTAGTACCTACCAAAAAAAAGCTGTGGTAAATTTTTTTTAAAACTTCAAAAAAATATTTCTTAGTAATTACCTATTCAAATTCAATAAAATTTTTTTTATTTCAATTCTATATATATGTGGATTAAAATAAAAAAATTTCACCAAATTTGGTCAGGTTTTATTCAGAAATCTTCGTTTAAAATTTAAAAGCAAATTTATTATTATTTTTTTTCTTAGATTTAAATTTTTTTTTAGCTTTAAACTAAATTTC